CAAAAGTCTGACCCCAAAAATAATATGGAGAGATTGCTACTTGTTGAGGGTGAAAAGAAGAAAGGTAGAGAATATTAAATTGTAGAGTGGGGAACCTCAGAACTCAAAATAAGCAGCATTGCTTTTAGAAGAAAATAATTTTATCTAGGCTTTAAGGCAGTGGTTCTCAACCTTGGCTGCACATTAGAATCACCTGGGAATCTTTTTAAAATCCTGATTTCTGGGCCCCATCCTCCGGAATTCTGTTTCTTTGTTATGGGGTGGGGCCACAACATTAGTAACAAAGAAACAGAATTTCCGGAGGATGAGGCCCAGAAATCAGGATTTTAAAAAGATTCCCAGGTGATTCTAATGTGCGGCCAAGGTTGAGAACCACTGCTTTAAGGGGAGGTGTTACTTTGAGAGAGAATGGATATTTATTCCTCTGAAAATTAAGAATAAAAACATAAATTGAGGAGCATGGGATCCATGAGGGAGAGCCTTCCAGTGGGCCTCAGCCTTCTTAGAAGAGTACTTAACGATGGAAGTGTTCAAATGTTTAGGAAGAGGGGAACTGTGGGGGATACACCAGAACAGCCGAGGCACAGAAGAAATGGGGAGGCTGAGAACACCCACTACAGAAGGGGCAGGAGGCTGAGGACAGTCAAAGAACTGAGGCTGTTTCACCTGGAGAAGGGAAGATCTACATAGGAATCAATGGCTGGCTTCAAATATTTGAGGAACTCAACAGAAGGAGTAAACATCTGTGGGAATAGGAGGACCAGCTGGTGGAAGTTACAGGAGGCAGATTCCACATGAACATAAGGCAAAACTTGCTCACACTGTGGAGTGGAGAGGTGAGTGGTTCTCCCAGAGGTGGTGTCCAGAAGATATGGGACAGTTACTTGCCTAGGATGCTGCAAAAAGCTTTAGTATCAGCAAAGAGTTAAACTTTGGTGATTTCTAAGGCCCTTCCCTCCAGCACAGATGAAATCTATAGGCATGGAACCAATTTAATGTAAAGAACCCCAAGACTGGAACGGATCTTAAAGTTTATCTAATCTAATAACCCGTTTGATTCTTGAGCCCCTCCCACGATGTGCTCACCAAGTGATCAGGGACTTTAAAATGCACCCAAGCTAAGCCTGAATCCATAGGGAACTAATTCGTGGACCTCCCAGATGGTCTAGGTCAGTGGTCAGCAAACTGAGGCTCTCAAGCCACATGCGGCTCTTTGGCCCCTTGAGTGTGGCTCTTCCACAAAATACCGACTTCTGCGCATGGGCCACGAAGTTTCAATCACGCGCCCGCACGTGGTATTTTGTGGAAGAGCCACACTCAAGGGGCCAAAGAGCCGCATGTGGCTCGAAAGCTGCAGTTTGCCGACCACTGGTCTAGGTGAAACTTACATGAGAACCCTTCTCAATGAAAGAGGAAATCTCGATAAATCTTGTATATAATTTTGAGTTGCTCTTCACCCTTGTTTATTACATAAAAACCCAAACTTACAAAGCAAATGCTGGTTATTATTCATATTTTAAAAGGATCCCCCACTTTACTAAATAATTCACTTTGGGATACTTAAAGCCACACATTTCAGGAATGAACTTAAAATGTACTCAATTTTCTCCTTCCCCACAAACAAAAAGTTCTTTACACACAATTTTCCAAGAACTTGTATGTCACACAAAGTGAATTTCAGTAGTATTGCAACATAAAAAAACACTTCCCACTTAATTGGCTACACACAAGTGATCAAAGATCAGTTTGGGTCCAAAGGGAGGCTTAGCAGAGGACATCTCATTTGATCCAGAATTTTAAGATCTACACTAGCCAGGGCTCTGTTTACCCAGAGAAGGGATGTAGAAAACGTCAGAGATGTTCTCAGTGGCATTGCTGCAATGGTTTACTAGCCATGTGGCTTTGAGGGGAGTGACTTAATCTCTCAGCCTCAGTTTCTACAGGTGTAAAGAAGGATTACCTAACACACGTGGTTAATTCTGAGGATTAGAGAGAATGTCTACAAAGCAACACACACACACACACACACACACACACACACACACACACACAGTAGGCAGGCCCTCTGCTGCCTTTACTTTGCTCCTCAACAACAAGCCAGTGAGGTAGCACACCTAACGGCTGTTAATGCCATTTTATGCAAAGCAGAGCTAAGTTACAGACTAAAATTACACCAGCACAAAACCTGGCTTCTCTGCCATGGCTGCAGCCCGCCGGGCAATCTCACCGTCTCCTCAGGCAGGAGATTCCAATAAGTGACAGTAAAGAAGAGCGCTGCTGATTTTCAGAAGACATAGAGTAACAGGAGCTGTGGGAGATCACCTCTAAATACATGGCCCCTCCCTATGCCCTGCTAGCCCTAACCCAGTTCCTAGGGGAGAAGCTGATAGGAGGGGAGACGGGACTGCAGGGGTGGTATAAGTGGTGAACTTTAGAGCCCTATTACACCTCTCAGTCCCCAAGAATCTCTCCAACCATCATCAGCATCATCTTTACTATGGTTAAGTGGCAATTTTCATAATTGTACTTAAAAGTGAGCAAAGGCTTCTTTTAATTACACGCTCAGCAGAATGGCTAACATGAAAACGAAATAAAAATACTAAGTATTGTGGAGCATGTGGTGCTACTGCAGGTGGGAGTGTAAACTGATATGGCCAATATTAGAAAACTGCTTGGCAGGATCTACTGAAGCTGATGTTGGTGCCCTATGGCATAGCAATTGCAGGTCAATAGAAATGTTTACTACAGTCACCAAAAGACATACCAGGACTGTGCTGGCCAATACACGTGGCTCTTTATATTTGAATTATTTATAATTTTAGGAAATTAAAAATCCAATTCCTCAGTCACATTAGCCACATGTGACCTGTGGGAGCCACATATGACTAGCGGGGGAGCCACACTGGATGGCCCAGATACAGAGCATTTCCACGCCGAAAGTTCTATTGCAGACTGTTCTGGAATGTCTGTAGCAGCACCATTCACAACAGACCCAAACTAGAAACTACCCACGTGCCCATCAACAGCAGAATGGACGAGTTCATTGTGGCGTGGTCACACAATGGAATATACTGTGAAGTAAGGAAAGGGCACGATCTACAAGGGCACGCAGCAACACAGATAAATCTCCCAGCGCCCAAAGCCAGGCACAGAAGAGCACATACGATATGACTCCGTTTACATATTGTTCCAAACCAGGCAAATCTCATCTATCCTGGCGACTGTTAGAAGCCAGGATAGTGGTTGCCAGGAGAGCGGTGGGGTGGTGACGCGAGGGAGCGTGAGGGGACTTTGTGGGCTGGAAACGGACTGTTTCTCCCTCTGGGACCTGGTCTCAGGGGAGTGTTTACTTAGCGAGCTGTATACTCTTCCGTCTTTTCTGCATCTGCTTCTTCAATACATTTCCGAAAAGCCCCTTTAGAAACTGTGCTGTGACTGATGTTACCGGCAGTCTAGGTTTTCAAAGCAAACCTTTCAATACAGCGACCGTGGGTGTGAGGCCCGGGCGGCCTCCCCCAGCCCCTCCCCGGGGCTCCAGCGAGGCGGTGG